CATTGGCCAGGTCGGTCAGTATGGGAACTTATAGTGCAAATGCCTGGGAGAACGGAACCGCTCAGATATCGCATAATACACGGAATCTAGTGGTCTCACTCAAATATAAGGTAGGAAATATATTCATCTAGTGAACGTAAGGGTTTGAAAGGTAACTAACGCACATGTGTAGAGAAAATGGTGCATCCGCCAGTCTGGCCGGCATTTCTCACTCATAGTGCAGGTGGGGCCAGGGAGAACGGAAACGCTCGTTTCTCAAAAAGTAGAGGGAATCTAACGGTCTCACTCGATCAGAAGGTGGGAAATATATAAATCTAGTCAGCTAAAAAGGTTTGAAATGTATTCAACGCACATGTATAGAGAAAATGGTGCATTGGCAAGGTCGGTCAGTATCGGAACTTAAAATGCAAATGCCAGGGAGAACGGAAGTGCTCAGATCTCGCATAGTACACGGAATCAAGTGGTCTCACTCAAATAGAAAGTACGAAATATATTCATCTAGTGAACGTAAGGGCTTGAAAGGTAATTAACGCACATGTGTAGAGAAAATTGTGCATCGGCCAGTCTGGCCGGCATTTCGCACTTATAGTGCAACTAGGGCCAAGGAGAACGGAAACGCTCATTTCTCAAAAAGTAGAGGGTATCTAGCGGTCTCACTCGATCAGAAGGTGGGAAATATATAAAATCTAGTGAGCTAATAAGGTTCGAAAGGAATCTAATGCATATGTATATGGAAAGTGGTGCATTGGCCAGGTCGGTCAGTATCGGAACTTAAAATGCAAATGCCTGGGAGAACGGAACCGCTCAGATCTCGCATAATACACGGAATCTAGTGGTCTCACTCAAATATAAGGTAGAAAATATATTCATCTAGTGAACGTAAGGGTTTGAAAGGTAACTAACGCACATGTGTAGAGAAAATGGTGCATCGGCTAGTCTGGCCGGCATTTCGCACTCATAGTGCAGGTGGGGCCAGAGAGAACGGAAACGCTCGTTTCTCAAAAAATAGAGGGAATCTAGCGGTCTCACTCGATCAGAAGGTGGGAAATATATAAATCTAGTGAGCTAATAAGGTTCGAAAGGAATCTAATGCATATGTACATGGAAAATGGTGCATTGGCCAGGTCGGTCAGTATGGGAACTTAGAGTGCAAATGCCAGGGAGAACGGAAGCGCTCAGATCTCGCATAGTACACGGAATCAAGTGGTCTCACTCAAATAGAAGGTAGGAAATAAATTTATCTAGTGAACGTAAGGGTTTGAAAGGTAACTAACGCACATGTGTAGAGAAAATGGTGCATCGGCCAGTCTGGCCGGCATTTCGCACTTATAGTGCAAGTAGGGCCAAGAAGAACGGAAACGCTAATTTCTCAAAAAGTAAAGGGAATCTAGCGGTCTCACTCGATCAGAAGGTAGGAAATATATAAATCTAGTGAGCTAATAAGGTTCGAAAGGAATCTAATGCATATGTATATGGATAATGGTGTATTGGCCAGGTCGGTCAGTATGGGAACTTAGAGTGCAAATGCTAGGGAGAACGGAAGCGCTTAGATCTCGCATAGTACACGGAATCTAGTGGTCTCACTCAAATAGAAGGTAGGAAATAAATTCATCTAGTGAACGTAAGGGTTTGAAAGGTAACTAACGCACATGTGTAGAGAAAATGGTGCATCGGCCAGTCTGGCCGGCATTTCGCACTTATAGTGCAAGTAGGGCCAAGGAGAACGGAAACGCTCATTTCTCAAAAAGTAAAGGGAATCTAGCGGTCTCACTCGATCAGAAGGTGGGAAATATATAAATCTAGTGAGCTAATAAGGTTCGGAAGGAATCTAATGCATATGTATATGGAAAGTGGTGCATTGGCCAGGTCGGTCAGTATGGGAACTTAGAGTGCAACTGCCTGGGAGAACGGAACCGCTCAGATCTCGCATAATACACGGAATCTAGTGGTCTCACTCAAATATACGGTAGGAAATATATTCATCTAGTGAGCGTAAGGGTTTGAAAGGTAACTAACACACATGTGTAGAGAAAATGGTGCATCGGCCAGTCTGGCCGGCATTTCGCACGCATAGTGCAGGTGGGGCCAGGGAGAACGGAAACGCTCGTGTCTCAAAAAGTAGAGGGAATCTAACGGCCTCACTCAATCAGAAGGTGGGAAATATATAAATCTAGTCAGCTAAAAAGGTTTGAAATGTATTCAACGCACCTGTATAGAGAAAATGGTGCATTGGCCAGGTCGGTCAGTATCGGAACTTAAAATGCAAATGCCAGGGAGAACGGAAGCGCTCAGATCTCGCATAGTACACGGAATCAAGTGGTCTCACTCAAATAGAAAGTAGGAAATATATTCATCTAGTGAACGTAAGGGTTTGAAAGGTAACTAACGCACATGTGTAGAGAAAATTGTGCATCGGCCAGTCTGGCCGGCATTTCGCACTTATAGTGCAACTAGGGCCAAGGAGAACGGAAACGCTCATTTCTCAAAAAGTAGAGAGAATCTAGCGGTCTCACTCGATCAGAAGGTGGAGAATATAAAAATCTAGTGAGCCAATAAGGTTCGAAAGGAATCTAATGCATATGTATATGGAAAATGGTGCATTGGCCAGGTCGGTCAGTATGGGAACATAGAGTGCAAATGCCAGGGAGAATGGAAGCGCTCAGATCTCGCATAGTACACATAATCTAGTGGTCTCACTCAAATAGAAGGTAGGAAATAAATTCATCTAGTGAACGTAAGGGTTTGAAAGGTAACTAACGCACATGTGTAGAGAAAATGGTGCATCGGCCAGTCTGGCCGGCATTTTGCACTTATAGTGCAAGTAGGGCCAAGGAGAACGGAAACGCTCATTTCTCAAAAAGTAAAGGGAATCTAGCGGTCTCACTCGATCAGAAGGTGGGAATATATAAATCTAGTGAGCTAATAAGGTTCGAAAGGAATCTAATGCATATGTATATGGAAAATGGTGCATTGGCCAGGTCGGTCAGTATGGGAACTTAGAGTGCAAATGTCAGGGAGAACGGAAGCGCTCAGATCTCGCATAGTACACGGAATCTAGTGGTCTCACTCAAATAGAAGGTAGGAAATAAATTCATCTAGTGAACGTAAGGGTTTGAAAGGTAACTAACGCACATGTGTAGAGAAAATGGTGCATCGGCCAGTCTGGCCGGCATTTCGCACTTATAGTGCAAGTAGGGCCAAGGAGAACGGAAACGCTCATTTCTAAAAAAGTAAAGGGAATCTAGCGGTCTCACTCGACCAGAAGGTGGGAAATATATAAATCTAGTGAGCTAATAAAGTTTGGAAGGAATCTAATGCATATGTATATGGAAAGTGGTGCATTGGCCAGGTCGGTCAGTATGGGAACTTAGAGTGCAAATGCCCGGGAGAACGGAACCACTCAGATCTCGCATAATACACGGAATCTAGTGGTCCCACTCAAATATAAGGTAGGAAATATATTAATCTAGTGAACGTAAGGGTTTGAAAGGTAACTAACGCACATGTGTAGAGAAAATGGTGCATCGGCCAGTCTGGCCGGCATTTCGCCCTCATAGTGCAGGTGGGGCCAGGGAGAATGGAAACCCTCGTTTCTCAAAAAGTAGAGGGAATCTAACGGTCTCACTCGATCAGAAGGTGGGAAATATATAAATCTAGTCAGCTAAAAAGGTTTGAAATGTATTCAACGCACCTGTATAGAGAAAATGGTGCATTGGCCAGGTCGGTCAGTATCGGAACTTAAAATGCAAATGCCAGGGAGAACGGAAGCGCTCAGATCTCGCATAGTACACGGAATCAAGTGGTCTCACTCAAATAGAAAGTAGAAAATATATTCATCTAGTGAACGTAAGGGTTTGAAAGGTAACTAACGCACATGTGTAGAGAAAATTGTGCATCGGCCAGTCTGGCCGGCATTTCGCACTTATAGTGCAACTAGGGCCAAGGAGAACGGAAACGCTCATTTCTCAAAAAGTAGAGAGAATCTAGCGGTCTCACTCGATCAGAAGGTGGAGAATATATAAATCTAGTGAGCCAAAAAGGTTTGAAATGTATTCAACGCACATGTATAGAGAAAATGGTGCACTGGCCAGGTCGGTCAGTATCGGAACTTAAAATGCAAATGCGAGGGAGAACGGAAGCGCTCAGATCTCGCATAGTACACGGAATCTAGTGGTCTCACTCAAATAGAAGGTAGGAAATCTATTCATCTAGTGAACGTAAGGGTTTGAAAGGTAACTAACGCACATGTGTAGAGAAAATGGTGCATCGGCCAGTCTGGCCGGCATTTTGCACTTATAGTGCAAGTAGGGCCAAGGAGAACGGAAACGCTCATTTCTCAAAACGTAAAGGGAATCTAGCGGTCTCACTCGATCAGAAGGTGGGAAATATATAAATCTAGTGAGCTAATAAGGTTTGAAAGGAATCTAATGCATATGTATGTGGAAAATGGTGCATTGGCCAGGTCGGTCAGTATGGGAACTTAGAGTGCAAATGTCAGGGAGAACGGAAGCGCTCAGATCTCGCATAGTACACGGAATCTAGTGGTCTCACTCAAATAGAAGGTAGGAAATAAATTCATCTAGTGAACGTAAGGGTTTGAAAGGTAACTAACGCACATGTGTAGAGAAAATGGTGCATCGGCCAGTCTGGCCGGCATTTCGCACTTATAGTGCAAGTAGGGCCAAGGAGAACGGAAACGCTCATTTCTAAAAAAGTAAAGGGAATCTAGCGGTCTCACTCGATCAGAAGGTGGGAAATATATAAATCTAGTGAGCTAATAAAGTTTGGAAGGAATCTAATGCATATGTATATGGAAAGTGGTGCATTGGCCAGGTCGGTCAGTATGGGAACTTAGAGTGCAAATGCCCGGGAGAACGGAACCACTCAGATCTCGCATAATACACGGAATCTAGTGGTCCCACCCAAATATAAGGTAGGAAATATATTAATCTAGTGAACGTAAGGGTTTGAAAGGTAACTAACGCACATGTGTAGAGAAAATGGTGCATCGGCCAGTCTGGCCGGCATTTCGCACTCATAGTGCAGGTGGGGCCAGGGAGAATGGAAACCCTCATTTCTCAAAAAGTAGAGGGAATCTAACGGTCTCACTCGATCAGAAGGTGGGAAATATATAAATCTAGTCAGCTAAAAAGGTTTGAAATGTATTCAACGCACATGTATAGAGAAAATGGTGCATTGGCAAGGTCGGTCAGTATTAGAACTTAAAATGCAAATCCCAGGGAGAACGGAAGCGCTCAGATCTCGCATAGTACACGGAATCAAGTGGTCTCACTCAAATAGAAAGTAGGAAATATATTGATCTAGTGAACGTAAGGGTTTGAAAGGTAACTAGCGCACATGTGTAGAGAAAATTGTGCATCGGCCAGTCTGGCCGGCATTTCGCACTTATAGTGCAACTAGGGCCAAGGAGAACGGAAACGCTCATTTCTCTAAAATTAGAGGGAATCTAGCGGTCTCACTCGATCAGAAGGTGGGAAATATATAAATCTAGTGAGCTAATAAGGTTCGAAAGGAATCTAATGTCAGAACATATCTATAGCTTATACTGCTGTGTAGGCTGTAGTGGGGTATCCCATAGGGGGTACAACCCAGTTAGGGTTTCATATTTGTACTGCTTTCATTCATAGTTCATTCATTTTTCCTGTTCATTCCTTTCACATGGTATAGAGCGGGTTCCCTGTGGGAACTTCGCCTAGGGCCCACCGAAGCGCGCCCCGAGGCGCGCGATCCTTTTTTTTTTAGCGACCCCCCCGAGTCGCCCTTCCCCTGCGGCCCCGCCGCCCTTCGTTCGCGGCCCCGCCGTCCAGTCGCGGCCCCGCCCTTACGTCGCGGCCCCGCCCTTACGTCGCGGCCCCGCCACTTAGTCGCGGCCCCGCCACTAAGACGCGGCCCCGCCACCCAGTCGCGGCCCCGCCGCCTACTCGGACGCGGCCCCGCCGCCTGCTAAGACGCGGCCCCGCCGCCTGCTAAGACGCGGCCCCGCCGCCTGCTAAGACGCGGCCCCGCCGCCTGCTCAGCCGCGACCCCGCCGCCCGCTACGACGCGGCCTCCGCCGCCTGCTCAGCCGCGGCCCCGCCGCCCTCTACGACGCGGCCTCTGCCGCCTGCTCAGCCGCGGCCCTGCCGCCTCCTACGACGCGGCCCCGCAGCCTGCTCAGCCGCGGGTGCTTCCAGCGGCCCTCCGCTGCATCCTGACGGTCCGCCACTGCACCCTGACGGCCCCGCCGTCCCCTGTCTCGTCCCCGCCACTACACTGCAGCCGAGCCGCCCAGCAGCAGCCGAGCCGCCCAACAGCAGCCGAGCCGCCCAGCAGCAGCCGAGCCGCCCAGCAGCAGCCGAACCGCCCAGCAGCAGCCGAGCCGCCCAGCAGCAGCCGAGCCGCCCGGTACCTGAGCCGCCCGAGCCGCCCGAGCCGCCCGAGCCGCCCGAGTCGCCCGAGCCGCCCGAGCCGCCCGAGCCGCCCGAGCAGCCCGAGCCGCCTGCTGCTGACCTACCCGACTCTCCCATCCCGGTGAGACTTTCAGCTGCTGCCATGGCCACCCCCAATGTTCTCACTTTTGACGCTGAGGGGAGGGCCATTGACTTTGCCGTCTGGATCGAGGACCTGCAGCTGTACTTACTGTGTGATGCGGTAGATGAGGTCTCTCTCTTTGACTTTGTCTCTGGCGCTGTCCCTGCCCCGCCTGCTGATGCTGACTCTGCCGTTCGCTCCAAGTGGGCGACCCGCGATGCTGCTGCACGTCTTGCTGTGCGTCGCCACCTCCCTTCCTCTGAGTGTGCCCACTTTAGTCAGTGCAAGACCGCTCAGGCCTTGTACGACGCTGTAGTTGCGCGCTACTCCTCCCCTTCCTCCGCTACCCTTAGCCGCCTCATGCTACCGTTTCTCTTCCCTGACCTCGCTTCCTTTCCCACTGTCGCTGACCTCGTTACCCACCTCCGCGCTAGTGACACCCGCTACCGCGCTGCCCTTCCTGCTGAGTTCCGCGCTGCGAACCCTCCTCCCATGTACATCACTCTCTACTTTCTCGTCACCCGTCTCCCTGAGTCCCTTCGTGTCGTTAGGGACCAGTTTCTCTCTGTCTGTCCCACCACTCTCACTGTCGACCTCCTTGAGGAGTCCCTGCTAGCGGCTGAGAAGAGTATTGTCGCTGTAGGGGCCTCTCGGGGTGACCCTCGCACCCCCATCTTTGAGGGGTGTGGTCCCTCCCCCCTGCTGCCCTCTGTCGCCTCTGCCGCTGCGGCCGACCTCGTTGGTTTTGAGTCGGTCGGTGCGGCGTCTGCCCCCAGTGGCAGACGCCGCACTGGCAAGGGCAAGGGGGGCAAGGGAGCAAGTGGAGCCAGAGGGGGCGGTGGAGGAGGCGGTGGGGGTGGAGGGGGGAGTGGGGGTGGCGGGGGGGGTGGTGGCGGGAGTGGAGGTAGTAGTGGCGGCGGTGGAGGCGGAGGTGGCGGCGGAGGTGGTAGCGGAGGAGGCGGTGGGAGCGGTGGGAGCGACGGTCCTGGTGGGGGAGGTGGCGGTGGCGACGGGGGTGGCGGTGGAGGCGGGGGTGGCGGTGGAGGAGGGGGTCGGAGTGGCTCGTCCCAGCGGAGCAGCTCTGGGGGTGGTCAGCGCCAGCAGCAGCAGCAGCAGCAGCCGCAGCAGCAGCCGCAGCAGCAGCAGCGCTCTCGCACCGTCCCCGGCCCTCAGCAGCTCCGTGAGTGGTACTTGCAGCGTCAGCGCGGTGGTGCGCTTGGTCCCTGCCCCTACGTTCTTCGCACTGGTGACCGTGCAGGGGAGAGGTGTGGAGGCGCCCACACAGCCCGTCGCTGCTTTGGCCGCCTGACCGACGCCTGGCGTCAGCAGTTTCCGGAGGCCGCTGAGATCCCCCGCTGGGGAGAGCTGTCTAGGGCTGGTGTAGCTATTTATGATCTTGATTTTGATGCTATTCTCTCTGCCATGTATGCTGTGACTGGTAGTGATGAGGATGACTGTTACCGGTGTTTCCCGCCCGACCCGGGCATTGGTACTGCCGCGTCAGGTACTAGTGAGGCTGCTGCTCTAGGTGCCAGTGCGTCTGTGCTTTCAGGTACTGGTGAGTCCGCCCTCTCAGGTACTGTGTCGGCTTCAACCTCTCACACCTTCACCCTTGACTCTGGAGCGTCTCGCTCCTTCTTTAGGGACCGCACCACTCTCACGCCGCTGAGTCGGCCTGTTGCGGTGTCCCTGGCGGACCCCTCTGGGGGGCCTGTCCTGTCTCGCTTCTCCACTGTCCTCCCGTGTCCGGCGGCCCCCTCTGGCACCCTGACTGGTCTCTACCTCCCCTCGTTCTCGACGAACTTGGTGAGTGGTGCTGACCTCCAGGATGCAGGTGTCCACCAGTTCACCCCTGCTCGTCAGCGGGTGACCCACTGTACGGAGGCGGATACAGGTCGCCACCTGGCTACGTTTACACGTCGGCCGGGGTCGAGCCTGTACACACTGACCACTGCTTCTCCTCCAGGTACTGCGTCTGGTAGGGCCCCTTCGTCTGGTCAGGTGTTTGCTGCAGCGTCCAGGTCTGGTCCTGAGTCTGCCCCTTGTTCGTGTCGTCGTCTGTCTCACGAGACCCTCCTCTGGCACCACCGCCTTGGCCACCCCTCTCTGCTTCGGCTCAGAGGCATGGCCTCCCGTCTTCTTGTGTCTGGACTCCCCCGGTCCCTCCCTCCCCTTCCTCAGGGCCCTGGCCCTGCCTGTGTCCCCTGTGTCGAGGGGCGCCAGCGTGCTGCCCCTCACTCCTCCCAGTTTCCTCCGACAGAGGCCCCGTTGCAGACGCTTCACATGGACGTGTGGGGCCCAGCCCGCGTCCGTGGACAGGGTCAGGAGCGCTACTTCCTGCTGGTGGTTGACGACTACTCGCGTTACACCACAGTCTTCCCCTTGCGCAGCAAGGGTGAGGTCACTCAGGTGTTGATCGACTGGATCCGCGCAGCTCGTCTTCAGCTTCGGAGAAGCTTTGGCTCTGACTTCCCTGTCTTGCGTCTGCACTCGGACAGAGGCGGAGAGTTCTCCTCTGCCCTCCTGAGTGCCTACTGTCGTGTGCGAGGCATCCGTCAGACCTTCACGCTTCCGGACTCACCACAGCAGAATGGGATCGCTGAGCGCCGCATTGGCATGGTCATGGACGTCGCTCGTACGTCCATGATGCATGCGGCTGCTCCCCATTTTCTGTGGCCGTTTGCGGTCAGGTACGCTGCGCACCAGATCAACCTCCACCCCAGGGTCTCTCGACCGGAGACCTCCCCAGCTCTGTTGTGGACGGGGAAGGTTGGCGATGCGTCGGCGTTCCGGGTCTGGGGATCTCGGGCGTTTGTTCGCGACCTGTCTGCGGACAAGCTGTCCCCTCGTGCTTCTCCCTGCGTCTTCCTCGGGTTCCCCCCCGACGCCCCTGGGTGGCAGTTTTACCACCCCACCTCTCGACGTGTTCTGTCCTCCCAGGACGTCACGTTCGACGAGTCGGTACCCTACTACCGCCTCTTCCCCTACCGCACTCCGTCCCTCCCCCCACCCCCGCTCTTCTTGGTACCAGGTCCCCCCCCAGTAGTCCCCCTCCCCCCTCAGGGTCCTGCCCCTTCAGGTGTGTCTCAGGTAGACGCGGTCGAGCCTGTCGAGGTCACTGGTGACTCTGGTGCTGCTGCGGGAGCTGAGCCTGGGGGTGCGGAGTCTAGGGGTGCTGAGCCTGGGGGTGCTGGGCCTGGGGGTGCTGAGCCTGGGGGTGCTGTGTCTGGGGGTACTGAGCCTGGGGGTGCTGAGCCTGGGGGTGCTGAGCCTGGAGGTGCCGAGCCTGGAGGTGCTGTGCCTGGGGGTGCTTCGTCTCGCCGGGAGCCGCTCTCTCCACAGGAGCTGCGTGAGTGGTTTGCCCGGCGCTGGAGGCGTGCCGCTGGTGCTGGTGGTTCTTCGGCTGCGGAGGGCGCTGCTGCCACGCGACCTGGCGGTGCTCGTCCTGTGGGTGCTGGAGCTGCTGGGTCTGAGAGTTCTCCTGGAGCTGGTCCTGCTGAGGACGTTGGCGCTGAGCCTGCGGTTGGTGGTCCGACTGACGGTGCTCCTGGTGCTGCTGCTGGAGGTTCTGGAGCTTCTGGTGGTTCTGCTGGAGGTGCTGCTGGAGTGGGTGCTCCGGCCGGAGCTGCTGGTTCTGTTCCTGCTGTTTCTGGCGTCGCCGCGCGGTCTCGACCGTACTTCGTTCCGCTCCTGGAGCAGGTTCTTGGTCTTGCTCCTCCTCCTCCTCCCTTAGAGGGTCCGCAGCCTGTCCGGTCACAGCCACAGCTAGAGCCTGCCTCCCCTTTGCCTGCTCCTTCTCCCTACGCTGGTCCGACTGGAGGCCTTACTGAGCGTCGTGAGCCTGCGTCTCGTCCTGCGTCGCCTGTTCGTACTGAGCGCGCTAGTGGTCGCGGGTCGCGTCAGCGTCCTCCTCCTGTCCCTGGCACGCACCGGATGTCACTGCGTCCGTCCACTGCTCCTCTGCGTGCCCCTTTGCCTTCTCCTCCTGCTTCCTCTCTTCCTGCTCTTGCCGACCCGGAGTCGGACTCTCTTCGTGCTGCCAGTCCTACTGTCACGCGTCTCCTTGCTACTGCTGTCACTGACCCTTCCTTCGAGTCGTCTGCTGCGTCTGCCCTTGTCACTGAGCTTGTCGACTTTGCTGCGCGCTGTCGTCTAGACTACGCTGCTCGTCTTGTCGCTGAGTCAGAGTCCGCCTGTCCTCCGTCCGTCGGGGGTGAGTGTGCCCTTGGCACGGACGTCCTAGAGGACAGGCAGGAGGAGTTCCAGTGTCTAGCCGCTGCTTCACCTCGTCTCGCGTCTGTACTGCTAGCCCCTGAGGGAGACCCGGATGCACTAGACATCCCGACTCCGCGTTCTTACGCGGAGGCCGTAGAGGGTCCCTACTCCTCTCAGTGGCAGGCAGCTATGGATGCAGAGATGGCTTCCTGGAAGTCCACAGGCACCTACGTTGACGCGGTTCCCCCTCCTGGGGCGAACATCGTCAGTGGCATGTGGATCTTCAGGGTGAAGCGGCCGCCGGGCTCGCCGCCTGTCTTCAAGGCGCGTTACGTGGCTCGTGGCTTCAGTCAGCGGCAGGGAGTTGACTACTTTCAGACCTTCTCTCCCACCCCGAAGATGACCACTCTTCGGGTGCTGCTGCACATTGCCGCTCAGCGCGACTACGAGCTTCACTCTCTCGACTTCAGCACTGCGTTCCTGCAGGGTAGCCTGCACGAGGAGATCTGGCTGCGCCGTCCGCCTGGCTTCACTGGGACTTTCCCTCCTGGCACCCAGTGGAGCCTCCGACGGCCAGTCTACGGTCTCCGCCAGGCACCGCGTGAGTGGCACGACACACTGAGGACTACGCTTGCGGCTCTTGGGTTTGCTCCTTCTACTGCTGACCCGTCGCTGTTTCTTCGCACCGACACTTCCCTGCCGCCGTTCTACATCCTCGTGTACGTCGACGACTTGGTCTTTGCCACAGCGGACACTGCTGGACTCGCCTACGTGAAGTCCGAGCTGCTGAAGAGACACACGTGCACAGACCTGGGTGAACTGCGCAGCTACCTTGGCTTGCAGATCACTCGGGACAGAGCACGCCGCACCATTACCCTGACTCAGTCACACATGGTGCAGCAGGTCCTTCAGCGCTTCGGCTTCACGTACTCCTCGCCTCAGGCCACTCCTCTGCCTACTCGCCACTCACTCTCAGCTCTGCCTTCGGATGAGTCCGTAGAGTCGAGTGGTCCGTATGCAGAGCTTGTTGGCTGCCTCATGTACCTGATGACCTGCACACGACCTGACCTTGCATACCCTCTGAGCATTCTTGCACGCTATGTTGCTCCTGGGAGACACAGACCGGAGCACATGGCTGCAGCGAAGAGGGTATTGCGCTACCTGTGCAGTACGTCAGGCATGGGGCTAGTGCTTGGAGGGCGGAGTCCAGTAGTCCTTACCGGCCACGCGGACGCTTCTTGGGCTGACGACCAGGCTACGCAGCGGTCGTCACAGGGTTACACCTTCAGCCTTGGTTCCGGCTCTGTCTCGTGGCGGTCTACTCGCTCGTCTTCGGTTCTCGGCTCCAGTTGTGAGGCTGAGATCTACGCCGGAGCCATGGCTGCACAGGAGCTTCGCTGGCTCACCTACCTGCTGACTGACCTTGGAGAGCCGCCTCGTTCTCCTCCAGTGCTGTACGTAGACAACAAGGCTATGCTGGCCTTGTGTCGAGAGCAGCGCTTGGAGCACAGAACGAAGCACATTGCTCTCCGCTACTTCCTTGCTCGTGAGTTGCAGCAGCGTGGTCAGTTGCGACTTGCGTACGTGGCCTCTGAGGCCAACACTGCTGATGTGTTCACCAAGGCACTTGCGCCTTGTGACCATCAGCGCTTCTGCACCCAGCTGGGTCTTGTGCCTGTCTTGCCTCACTTGCTCTCCTCTTGACTTTACTTGTACTGTGACATATATATATACCTGCTCTTGCTTGTCTAGTTTTATATATATGTCTGTACTCTTGCTTGTGAACTGGCCTTTGGCCTTGCTCTTGTGCTCGGACTGTGTGGTGACTTTGTGATCCACCTTGAGCTTTGATTTGTCTTGCTTGACTGGTCTTGTGACCCCTTGTTCTCCCCCACTTTGCCTATGGGGGTGTGTCAGAACATATCTATAGCTTATACTGCTGTGTAGGCTGTAGTGGGGTATCCCATAGGGGGTACAACCCAGTTAGGGTTTCATATTTGTACTGCTTTCATTCATAGTTCATTCATTTTTCCTGTTCATTCCTTTCACATCTAATACATATGTATATGGAAAATGGTGCATAGGCCAGGTCGGTCAGTATGGGAACTTAGAGTGCAAATGCCTGGGAGAACGGAACCGCTCAGATCTCGCATAATACACGGAATCTAGTGGTCTCACTCAAATATAAGGTAGGAAATATATTCATCTAGTGAACGTAAGGGTTTGAAAGGTAACTAACGCACATGTGTAGAGAAAATGATGCATCGGCCAGTCTGGCCGGAATTTCGCACTCATAGTGCAGGTTGGGCCAGGGAGAACGGAAACGCTCGTTTCTCAAAAAGTAGAGGGAATCTAACGGTCTCACTTGATCAGAAGGTGGGAAATATATAAATCTAGTCAGCTAAAAAGGTTTGAAATGTATTCAACGCACATGTATAGAGAAAATGGTGCATTGGCAAGGTCGGCCAGTATCGGAACTTAAAATGCAAATGCCAGGGAGAACGGAAGCGCTCAGATCTCGCATAGTACACGGAATCAAGTGGTCTCACTCAAATAGAAAGTAGGAAATATATTCATCTAGTGAATGTAAGGGTTTGAAAGGTAACTAACGCACATGTGTAGAGAAAATTGTGCATCGGCTAGTCTGGCCGGCATTTCGCACTTATAGTGCAACTAGGGTCAAGGAGAACGGAAACGCTCATTTCTCAAAAAGTAGAGGGAATCTAGCGGTCTCACTTGATCAGAAGGTGGGAAATATATTTATCTAGTGAGCTAATAAGGTTCGAAAGGAATCTAATGCATATGTATATGGAAAATGGTGCATAGGCCAGGTCGGTCAGTATGGGAACTTAGAGTGCAAATGCCTGGGAGAACGGAACCGCTCAGATCTCGCATAATACACGGAATCAAGCGGTCTCACTCAAATATAAGGTATGAAATATATTCATCTAGTGAACGTAAGGGTTTGAAAGGTAACTAACGCACATGTATATGGAAAATGGTGCATTGGCCAGGTCGGTCAATATGGGAACTTAGAGTGCAAATGTCAGGGAGAACGGAAGCGCTCAGATCTCGCATAGTACACGGAATCTAGTGGTCTCACTAAAATAGAAGGTAGGAAATAAATTCATCTAGTGAACGTAAGGGTTTGAAAGGTAACTAACGCACATGTGTAGAGAAAATGGTGCATCGGCCAGTCTGGCCGGCATTTCGCACTTATAGTGCAAGTAGGGCCAAGGAGAACGGAAACGCTCATTTCTCAAAAAGTAAAGGGAATCTAGCGGTCTCACTCGATCAGAAGGTGGGAAATATATAAATCTAGTGAGCTAATAAGGTTCGGAAGGAATCTAATGCATATGTATATGGAAAGTGGTGCATTGGCCAGGTCGGTCAGTATGGGAACTTAGAGTGCAAATGCCTGGGAGAACGGAACCGCTCGGATCTCGCATAATACACGGAATCTAGTGGTCTCACTCAAATATAAGGTAGGAAATATATTAATCTAGTGAACGTAAGGGTTTGAAAGGTAACTAACGCACATGTGTAGAGAAAATGGTGCATCGGCCAGTCTGGCCGGCATTTCGCACTCATAGTGCAGGTGGGGCCAGGAAGAATGGAAACCCTCGTTTCTCAAAAAGTAGAGGGAATCTAACGGTCTCACTCGATCAGAAGGTGGGAAATATATAAATCTAGTCAGCTAAAAAGGTTTGAAATGTATTCAACGCACATGTAGAGAGAAAATGGTGCACTGGCCAGGTCGGTCAGTATCGGAACTTAAAATGCAAATGCGAGGGAGAACGGAAGCGCTCAGATCTCGCATAGTACACGGAATCTAGTGGTCTCACTCAAATAGAAGGTAGGAAATATATTCATCTAGTG